AACGCTAGACTAGAAATAGGGAGAATTGAGTTCTGGGGGGGGGGGAAAGGTACTGAGAAACCATTTTCAAAATACTGCCAAGAAAGCAGCATCTCATCAGGAGTCAAGAGTACTTTGAATGACTATAACAACATATTAACCATAGGTGGGAAGTCCTGTTCTCTATAAGCTCTTTCTTCTGTGTTGGTCAAAATTATAAAAAATTAAGTATTATAAAATTGTATAGAAAAGAAGAATGCAGGTAATTTGTAATACATATTTAAATTCTCTTTATAACTTTTTATCATTTTGTGTACTTTATTAAAAATATGACAGATTAAAACTTGGGATGTTGGGTTGGTTCACTGATATTGTCCCAGATGATATGATTGCCCTTGGTGACTTTCTAGATCTCTTAATGTGCACCTTATTCATTTAAATGTCTGTCTTTAATTTTTATCCTTAGAAAACTTGCCACATTTGATACATGGAGTTCTTTGGCAGTGCACATAGCCATGGATAATACTGTTGTGATAGAGGAAATAAGTAAGTATCATTGAACTGTTTATAAAAGTATGTGCCTATTGTTGAAGGGATATGGTTTTTAAGATAATTGGGTTTAGGAGCCATAAGACATTAGGTTTACAGGATCCTGTTGCAGTGTATCATATCGCTAATAGATTAGTTTGAGTAAGTTTTTATTGGTACTGTTGTTAGAGGTGGATTTCGGAAATAGCGCAATTTTATATTTCAGTATTTACTGTTATGTCTGGAAAAAATTTAATTGTTGAGCTCTCAAAGCTAGAATATTCAGATCTTTTCTACTTATGAAAAATAAAGTTTTACTTCTGCAGCTTTATGATAGAATAGCAACAGATGTGTGGAAGAACCTGCTTCCAGGCTTTGAAATGTTGATTATAAATATTTCCATTACAATAAAATAAAAATTATATTAGCAATAATAGATGTAAGTGATATGTGGTAGATGTACTGTATGTAGTTCTATTTGCTAGTCAACAGCAAATTAGACTATATGGGCATAAGGCTATTTCTGCTTATTTTTCATCTTTTGGCAGGAAGGTTATGCAAGCCCAACTCTCCATGTCCTGGAGCCTCAGCATTTCCTTCTGCAGAATCAGATTTTTTTTCTAATGGTTATCCAGATGGAGATGAATCTACAGACTGTTTATTGCTTTGGAAACCACTAGTGCTGCTGATACCTCTTCGCCTTGGTCTCACAGACATCAATGAAGCCTATATTGAAACACTGAAGGTATAAAATAATTTTAAACTACCTGGGTATCTGAAACCATGTGGTTCGGCGTATGCATTTTTAATACTCATAATTCTGGACCATATTCATACAACAGAAATAGTGTTGCCAACACTAAATTCATTATCAAGCTCAGAATGTCTGAAATATATGATCTCCATGTTCAACTGCTATCCAGAACGGTCATTATTAGAGCAGCTCACTCTGAATGGGTAGAATTGTTTTGCTGCTTTCGCAGTGATTTATATATGCAGATGCCTAATGCACATTTGTAATCACCTTAGTTCTATTTAATAATTCAAGGGTATATATTTTTCTCTGAGCTAATTCTGAACAATTGCTTCATTGACTAATTAATATGATTAAACTACAAACTTGTATAAACAAACTTGTATAAACATATGTATAGAATTGTGCTGGTGGGTATTGTGTGTAGGGAGCCAAGCATTTCATGCTACCATTGTCAGTCATCCTTTGTTGGAGTTTAGTAATTATATAAAGTAGTTTTGACACTGTTATTTCATGAAAGCTATTGCACTGTAAATGGCTTCCCCCTTTGGTTTCTTGTCTTAAAAATGGCCAGTGTGAATTAACTTGTTTGAATGTTCAGTGGATAGGTATAAAAGAACTATTCTGAATAGCTGTGTAATGCTTTTTATTGTGATGGTGTTGTTTTCCTCTGTGCTTAATTGTGCATATATTGCTTTCCAGCATTGCTTTATGATGCCTCAGTCGCTAGGTGTGATTGGAGGAAAACCCAATAGTGCGCATTATTTCATTGGATATGTTGGTAAGTTTAAGCTGTATGTATGCTGAATATACTGGTATTAATGAGTATGGTCTGTAAGATATTTCAAACCATTTTCTCAAGTGCAAACCAGCTGCTGTGAGCCAAGATAGGCTGATCAAGGCTTAGTGCTATTTATTGACATATGTTCAAGCATTCTTCCTAAGAGGACGCACCATGGGGAGTCTTAAGTTTCTGTTTATATTATGTAGGAAACATCTGCTTTTGTTCAAACATAGTCATCTCTAAAATCTATATTCCCTCAAACTTTGATCTGTAAAAAGGTAATTTCTTTATTCTTACATGAGCATGCAAAAATATATTGAATTTTGTTTTTAGCCTGTATTATGATAAAGTGGATTGACAATCTTTAGCTTTTGGAGACTATTAAGATTATATAACAAGTTTTCTAGTAACACAGAATTACACATTTACACAATTGAAGGTAGTCCTCGAATTATAATCACTCATTTACGTGTTTCCCCCAAAATAAGACCCTGGAAAATAAGCCCTAGCAGGATTTTTCAGGATGCTCATAATATAAACCCCATTCCCAAAATAAGTCCCAGTTAAGATTGTCAGCCAGATGAACGCATTTAGAACTGTATTTCCCAGAATATAAGCCCTAAGCAGAAAATAAACCCTAATGCATCTTTTGGAGCAAAAATTAATATGACCCATTCTTATTTTTTGGGAAATACGATAGTAACTGTTTGAACTTACATTGACCTGCAAAAAGTGATTTATGACTATCTTTCACACTTAAAGACTGTTGAAGCATCCCCATTGTCATGGGAACAAAATTTGGGCACTTGGCAACTGGAATGCATTTATGACAGTTCCACTGTCCTGGGATCATGCGATCACTATTTGTAACTTTCCCAGTTGACTTCTGATGAGGAATGGTAGAAGCCAGATTCATCTAACAACCAATGATTCACTTAATAATTGCCAGAACAATGTCAGAAAGCAGGAATTGCACATGTTAGTAAATCCTATTATGTTGTTTAAAAGTGGAATAAGAGTACTGCAGAAATGTCAATATAGGAGAACATGCTTCAACCTATTCTGGGTCCAAGGGCATAATCACAGCAGATACAGTATTTGCTTACATCTTTCTTCTGGCAGTGCTGAGGGGAGAGCATTACATAAGGCTGGAGTGAAAACCCTTCTCTGAGTTAGAACATTTACGTGGAATTTCATATATCTCTTATTAGCCATAAGAAACAGAGAAGTATTAACTGCATTGATCTGATGATTCAGTTGCTTCTTAAATGTTGCTGTTACTTGTTCATAACCTAAATAAAATTAGGTAGGAAAGTGAAAGTCATAGGAGCAAAAACTTGTGAATTTGCTTGGTTCTACTTGCTTTGAAATCTGTCCTAAGCCTGATGGAAGAAGTGTTGACTTCAGCCAGTAATTTAATGTGATCTACATGTTCTGGTCTCCACACTTGCCATTCCAGCCCTTTATGCATTAGAGATACAGTGGAGGACTCAAAAATTGCCCTTAGATATTTGGACTGGATGAGTTCCAATGAAGAAAGATTGAAGAGTGTTCCAAACTGTGCCCCGCATAGTAATTATGGATGCTTGCAGGTGTTTATATTGGCCTTTACTAGTAAAATCTTAAAATATCCACTGCGCTGTTATGTGCATTCTGTGTAACATAATTAGCATCAGCCATTTTCTTTTCATTATCTTGGAGGACCTCTGCTAGGTATTTAAAGCAAAGCACTTGTTCAGTGGCATTGTTGTTGATAGACTTGGAGAGCCTTTTGGGTCAATTGGCAAATGCAGTAATTTTGGAGGGGGGCACTGTAATTAATTTCCAGTTGGTTCTTTTTTATTTAGCTGTACAAAAGCATTTAAGTAATCCTTGAGATGATTACTGCATCAGTATCTTCATAAACGACTTAGATGAAGGAATTGAAGGGGAACTCATCAAATTTGCAGATGACACCAAACTGGCAGGAATAGCCAACACCCCAGAAGACAAACTCAGGATCCAAAAAGATCTAGACAAGCTTGAACAATGGGCCCTACCCAACAAAATGAGTTTCAATGTGGAGAAAAATAAAGTTTTACATTTAGGCAGGAAAAATCAAAGGTACAAGTACAGATTGGGCGAGACCTGGCTTAAAAGCAGCAACTGTGAGAGGGACCTTGGAGTCCTAGTGGACGATCACTTGACTATGAGCAAGTAGTGTGCAGTAGCAACCAAAAAAGCTAATACAATCCTGAGTTGTATAAACAGAGGCATAGAATCAAGATCACGCGAAGTATTAGTACTGCTTTATAAAACCCTAATAAGACCACACCTGAAATATTGCAGCCAGTTTTGGTTACCATGTAACAAAAAAGATGTTGAGAGTTTGGAAAAAATTCAGAGAAGAGCAACTAAGATGATCAAAGGCCTAGAGACTAAAATATACGAAGAACGGCTGCAGGACTTGGGTTTGGCTAGTCTAAAGAAAAGAAGAAATAGGGGAGACATGTTAGCAGTATTCCAGTATCTGAGGGGCTGCCACAAGGAGGATGGGGTCACGTTGTTCACCAAAGCACCAGAGAGAAGGGCGAGAAACAATGGTTGGAAACTGATCAAAGAGAGAAGCAACCTGGAATTAAGGAGAAACCTCCTGACAGGACAATCAACCAGAAATCGTGTGCGCTCCATCACTGGAGATTTTTAAGAAGAGACTAGACAATCACCTGTCTGAGATGGTATAGGTTCTCCTGCTTGAGCAGGGGGCTGGACTAGAAGACCTCCAAGGCCCCTTCCAGCTCTATTCTATTCTACCAAGTATTCTAACTGAATGAATAATTGAATGAATAAATAAACAGAATAGCAATATGCCTCTCTATGTTTGGTTGGTTGGAAATTCAGATTGTCAAGCCAATCTACCACTTCATTTAAATAGAATTTAAATACAAGAGGTCCGGATATGCAGTTCTGTTTTACAGCCTTGACAGCTGGAATGAGTACTGCCAAATATCCTTGCACATGACATATACCATTAGAATATTTTCTCATGGTTCATAAATAAGAAATAACAGTCAGTGATCAGTGATGGTATTGTACAACTTTTATGACAGTTTTGTCTGAGACATGGAATCAAGATAAAGGCAGGGAAGAGATACTACTTTAGAGGGGCCCTATTTCTCAATAAGGTGTTCTAGTATGAGGCACTGGTCAATTGTAGAGTGACCTTCTCCAAAGCGGCTGGTTCTTCTGCAGGTACTCTTTTAACTTTCCCATGGATGTGTCTCGCATAGAGTTTACTGATAATATTAAGGAGCTTATAGATAATGATCTTTCCATTGATCTTTGTTTAGGTGAAGAACTAATCTATCTTGACCCGCATACTACTCAGCCTGCAGTGGAACTTGTAGACAGTTGCCACATCTCTGATGAAAGCTTTCATTGCCAGCATCCGCCTTGCAGAATGAGCATTGCAGAACTAGATCCTTCTATTGCAGTAGTGAGTATGCATACCTGAAGTTCACTTTCCTATCAAGGGAGTGCTATGATCTTGGACAATCCTCTAGTTCAGGGGTCTGCCACCTTGACAACTGAGGAATTCTGGGAGCTGAGGTCCACAAGTCTTAAAGTTGTCAAGGTGGCAGACCCCTGCTCTAGTTAGCTACTGATTCCTCTCTTTATGAAGATATAATGTTGTGCTCTCCCTTTTCGTCGCACAAATTAGATATATTCCTGTTCTGAAGCATGAGAAATAATTATTTCCAGATTACAATAGTTGAGGCTTTCAGATTACAGCGTAACAGAAGAGAGACAGGTATCCTAGACAAATCTTTGTACATGTTGTGTAATGAGTGGTCAGATGCCATATTGTTTATATTGTGTTGATATTACAAGTAAAGATCATCCATTGAAATGTAATGTAGGGAGATTCAGGAGAGACATAATTTCATACAGAATCTAACTAAGTATGGAATTTTCTCCCTGTTAATATAATGGCAATACATTGGGGTGGTTTTAGAGGAAACCTGGTCAAGTTGATGGACAGTCAGGCTATCAGTGCCTTCTAATGTGGATGGCTATTTATTACCTGCTGAATCACAGGCAGCATGCCTTAAATGTTAGTTACCGAGAGTTCATGTTGCCCTCCAAGCTTGTGAGCTTTTCAAATAGACCTATTTGTCAGTCTGTAATATTGAATGCTGGAGGAGAAGGATCCCTGACTTATCTAATAGGAGTCTTCTTAATTTGAATCTGTTTTAGAATAATAAAACTATTGTCTTTTCTTTATAGGGATTCTTCTGCAAAAAAGAAGAAGACTTCAGTGACTGGTGCCAGCAAATCAAGAAGGTTTGTATGTAGCTTTTTTTTGTGTAAAAAGAAAAAAGTCAGAACTTATGACTAGGGCAACATCTGATTTTTTTTAAATATAAAAATGAAGAATTCAAACTGGAGATTTATTTTAAAAAGTATACTAATCTTGTCAAGATATCTGTTGCAAGTGTCATGTTAGCTCTGTTAGATATCTTTCTTAGAGGTTACAGCTTTTCTTGATTGCCTAATTATTAGCATTGTATTATAGTAGGATAGATGAATCTGTGGGCTGTATTTGATATTGACAATGTTTTATCTCCTTCACTTTTTTCTCCTTCGGAGATACCCATTGGAATATTTGTTTTTTAAAAGTGATAAAATATGGGAAATGTATAAATAAAAGTGCTTCTGTTAACTTGAAGAATCTGGTAAACCAGATTTAAAGCTTATTGATGCTTACCATGGAATTATTTGTTTGTCCATGTCTTCAAAGAATCCAGATAATCATCCTCTTGGAGGGGGCTGTGTAATTGCCCTCTAATAAATCTTTTCTTTTTAGAGTCAAAAGTTGTCAAAAATTGTTGAATCTAGGAGGCCTATTAAGAAGGGGACACAGGAGGTTCTTTCAGTTGCCTATTGAAGTGAAGTGCAAATAACCTCCCAGATCCAATCCCCATATGATCTGTAGATCCAGTCTCCATATGATCTGGTGTGGGTATGGGGTGGGCATCTAAGCCAAGGACACATCGAACTCCACCCGTGAAGAGACAAGAAATTTGGGGGAAAACTGTTAAAAAAATAGGAAATTGAATGTTTAATGTCTAACTTTATGTATAATGTACTATGCAAACTGGTCCTAGTAGCTGGGTGTGAAATGTACCTTCCACCACCTCCCAAGAAGGGAGCTAGTTACCTTAAACAAGATCACTGGCCAACAGCCCACCAACACAATCAAAGAGGAAAATAAATTCCTCTTCATGCTCTCTAGAGCAGGGGTAGTCAACCTTGGCTCTTTTATGACTCGTGGACTTCAACTCCCAGAATTCCTGAGCCAGCCATGCTGGCTCAGGAATTCTGGGAGTTGAAGTCCACGAGTCATAAAAGAGCCAAGGTTGACTACCCCTGCTCTAGACATTACTTTGGCCTCTTCACTTACCAGGAGCTCCTCAGTCCACTAGGGGGCCATCTGCCAATAGAGAGAGGCTGATCAAGAGTAGTGTCTGCATCATCCCCTATTGCCTGTGAGCACCAGGTACTCAACAACTGCCCACATGACAACCGGGGAATTCTTCCAAGTTCCTGCTTGAAATAATGTGATCCGTAAGGCATCTGAAGCAAATAATCTTAACTCTGAAACATTAAATGTTAAAACATGAAATAACCATATCCCAATTAGTCATATTGCAAGTTTCAATAAAATTAATAGGGCCTTGGCTAGCCACAATTATCCATCCTATTCACTTGAGATTGAAGCCCATTCTTTTTCTGCATTTCATATAAGGCACGTTAAAGTCAAACTAGGTCCTAGGCAAGGAATTTTGGGAATGTAGTTTCAAGAATAGATGTAGAAAATAGGGTGGAGAGCTGGATATTGTGATGGAAATCCTGTAGTGTGCTACAAAAAGTATTTCCATGCCAGTTGTACTTAGTGCAAAATAGGTTTTTAGGTTGCACTAAAACAATTGGATAGAAAGTCCAACAATGAAATATGAAGTTGTAAAATAATATTGATTACTAGCTTAAAATCTCTAGGACAGCTTTGAACACTAGCTCATTGTAGCACTTCTAGCACTTTCAAGAAGCTAACATTCTTTGGTATTTAAAGAAGATGGAACTAGAAAATATTACACAGGAGCAAAGTCTAAATGACCTAATTTCTTCAAAAGTCATGCAGACTTGATTTGTGACAGTAATAACTTCCCTATTTCTGTATATTAAATCAATAGTGAAAAAAAGGAAGGAGAACCTAATTGTACATTATAGGAATGGGGCAAAAGTTTTAAAAAATTAAACTCATCCAATGTCACCTTTGGTGAGATAGTGGATATAAATTTGATGAATATAAAAGCAAAATAATAAAAGCAAAATTCCTGGTTTTCCAGCATCTGCACTAATCCTCATTTTTAGAGGTAATTTGCAATACAACAATGCACATTTAAAGAAAATTGCATTTGCAACTGTGCATATTAGGGGGAAATGCACGTCATGGTTCCGATAGATGAAACCCAGCAAAAGAACTTTGAGGCAGAATTCTCCCTTAAAGAACATTTTATTCGGGAAACAAAGTATCGGCACTACATAGTTGAACCCAAAACTAAATTCCCTTCCCCCCCCATACAAAGTAAGAAAGTGCAATACCCACCCCCAATAAGCTGTCATAAATCACATTCTCCAATTAGCTTAAAACATGGACTTTCTCCCCAGCTCAACCCACCAAAACATTATCAGCTTGTCCTTGGGTTCCCACAAAACAGCGTTATTATTGTGGCTAGCTGAGTTTTCATTCCACACACACCCCTTCTGCACCTAATTTCTAAATACCAGAAAAAGCATAGTAAAGAAGAGAAAATGGCTGCATTTTCATCAGTTGTCAGAGCGAGAACATTCAATGGTTAGCAGCATTGACAGCACACAAAAATATATATTCAAATTTGTGCAACCTAACATAGATAGATTAATGTAATGAAAAACAGTGAAATCAAACTATATAAATTTGCCCCTCCTTGGGTTCAAATCTCACTTGAATGGAATCAAAACTGCTGTTTTGCTGGCTGCATTAATTTGCGTTCCTTAAGTGGGCCTGTGTATATTCTATTCTCAAAAACAGTATATTTTCTTGTGCTTTTATTATGTTGTTCTTTTTTTATTGTTGGCAGCTGAAGGGAATTATACCAAATATGTAAAACCACTATACTTTTCAGAAGAACATTTTTTAGTATTGCAGTATGCTGTGCATTGACACATTTTAAACAAGTCTTTACAATCATAGAGACTAGAAATTAATTTGTTCTGTACGTGAAACTAAATTGAAGATGTATTAGTTATATCAAATGCTTGATACTCTTAGAAATAGCAAAGGAGTATAACTGGTTTTAATACATTTCTAACAGTTGTCACTGATTAGAGGAGCCCTTCCCATGTTTGAGCTAATAGAACATCAGCCTTCACACTTCTCTAGTCCTGATGTCTTGAATCTCACTCCAGGTAATGTTCATTTATTTGGTTGTAGAAGGAATGAATGCTGTATGAATAAAGGAGAGTTTTAATATTTGGAGATATTTTTTATTCCAGATAAATAATTATGATAGCATTTGTGTCTTCATTGCCTAAGAAATAGTACCAATTTTCAAAATTGATATTTGATCTTTAAAAATATTGAGATTGTTTTTACATGCAGTTCCATACTATGATATTGTAATGTCAACTGTTTCAGATAGACTGGACTATGAAACAGACATTGTTCAGATCTAAAGTTAATTTATTGAAACAGCTATAGTAACAGAATCCTGCAGGTTTAAGAAATGTTCCCTCCCTTTTATCTTCATGAAAACTGGGGAGGGTGGCTGTCTGAGGCATTTTCTCAAAACAATTTTCTTCACCTGGACTCACATTTGGTGAGGGGAATCTTCCGTCTTGGGAGTCATCCTTTTTATTCACTACATTACTATTATTTCATAAAATGCAGTGATTTATAAAACAATTACTTCTAAATCCTGCAAAGCAGAGCTGCTCTTGCTAGATTTTTGTGGTACGGTACTTTTCATCCCTGTGAAAACCTCTGAAAATAGATAAGGAAGGCTAAATTATCATGCTACCTATGGACTGTGGCTGATGCAAACTGAACTACCATAGACTGGGTTCAAATTTGCTAAAAATAATAGTTAAAACTTTCTGGCATTACTTAAAGTGTTTTTATTATTCAGATTCTGGCAAATCACAGCCGATGTTTCGCATAGTTTATATTTAATTATGATTAAGTGTGTTGTGGGAACAGTCTAAGTGTAATACTGAAGCATATAAATCATTCATGTCTTGTAGATTCTTCTGATGCAGACAGATTGGAAAGATTCTTTGATTCAGAGGATGAAGATTTTGAAATCTTATCACTTTAACAAAAGAAACTACACTAACTGCCAATTTGGGTTGAGTGGGGGAGGGGAGCTCCTTGGAGAGCCTAGGGCTACCAGCTTTCATAGGTGCTTGTTGACATCCTTGCCTCCCATTTACCCCAGCATTCTGTGCAACCTTGGAGCAGAGTGGATTTTTGCAGTGGGATCAAGAAACGGGTCGTCGTTAAGGCCTTAATAGCTTTAGTTACTTTCTCAGTGCAAGAATATCCATGGGAAAGGGATGCAAAGTTTCCTAGGAGCTGGAAATTATTTTCATAGGAACAGGAACAGGCACAAAGGCTTGACTATAATAGTAAAAGCTCTTCAGAGTGTTTGGCCTAAGTTCTCTCTATTATTAGGGAGTCTTGTTACTTCTGTTCCCATTTTTATAGTGTGAAATGAAAACCAGCATAACAGCTGTAAGACAGGTATCTGCATTATGTCTCCCTAATCAGCTGGCCATATTCTGAGACAGGTATCTGCATTATGTCTCCCTAATCAGCTGGCCATATTCTGAATTATTTGGGGCCACAAGCTCTCACGATTGACAGCACCAAATGTTCCAACTTGTACTTTAGATTTTCTCCAATACAGTGCTTCCATGGTTTTGGTTTCAAAGTTGCAATTTATTTTTTAAAATATAATGTTCTACATTCTAGCAATCACAAGAGCATATCATACAGAACATGTTAAAATATGTTCTAAAGATGACAAGAGAACATCAGTAGATAATATAGGGAAGGCTCTGACAGTTACTCTTCTCACAGTAAATGCACAAACAGAATGGTGTTACTCAGATTTTGCTTCGTTATTTTTATTTGGATATTTTTCTATTTTGTATTAAAAATATGGCTGCTATTTCATAAAATGAGGTGAAAACATCCATTAGCTGATGAATTAAAAGTGCTTCTGATTCCTCCTCTTAATAAAATTTAGACTGTACATGGACACAAGTCTTGCGTTAACAGCTATTTTAAAATCATGATTTCAGGCCAAAGGTGTGTTCTCATCTCCCCTTTTTAAAGTACCACGCAAAGCTATTTCTATTGTGTGTCTTTGTTTTTCATTTGTTTCAGTTCTTAATATGTAATTTTAAAGAAAGTTAAAGCAAATTCTTCATCCCTTAAATCATTACCTTTCTGGCCAGGATTTCCAGCCTATTATATTCCAAAATAGCAGAAGAGCTCCTCTGTTTCTAAAAGATAGGAATGGCGGGCAAGAACCCCATCAGTTCCAAGCATTAGCTCAATCAATGGATGTTGCAGTGGCAAATATGTTTACAAAGCATTCTTGCCTGCATTTATAAGCAGAACTGTCAAACTACAGATGGTACTATAACCATCTATAAAGTAACTGCATATAGTAGGTCCAGTTGCCTATTTAGCTACTAGAAATCAAATTTGAACCATGATGCTTATTTGTCATTGTTATAGCTTACTGTGCTTCTCTTTCTTTTGGAAGAAGAGCATAGTCAGATTGTGTTTCATTCATCAACTGCTTTCAATTTGTATCTGAATAAAACAAATTTAAAAAGGTTTTTGTATTCCTGGTACATTTTTCTGCACCACAAAAAGACAAAAGAGAATCATAGAGTTACTTTTTAATAAAAGTTCTATTATGTATTTTAAAAAATGATACACATTCTAAATATTGTAATATAGCCTTTCCCAATCTAGGATATAGTACTTAGGTTTCCTCGTTAAATTTTGTGCATAGACATTTCAAACATTATATAGGATTCAGGAACTGATTGATACATACAGCTCTAAACGAACGTTAGTTAATTATACAGTATTAAAGCCTTTCCTTTTAAAAAGCATTAAAAAACTGGTGGAGAAATAACTGAATTTGAAGAACATAGAACTGAAAACTACAAACAATTTAAAATTTGAAAACATAATTTAAACACATTAAATGTAAACCAGATATATAATTCATAAAAAAGAAGTACCAACAAGAGTATAGAAAAATAAGAGCAACTCACTCCATGTGCAAGTGCTAATTTGAAAGTATCTCATAACCAAATCACTCTTTTTGAGGAATTTTCAAGGCAGACAATGGAGTAACGCACAAACAAAAATTAAAAACAAACCTAGTTACCTAAGAATTCTACAGAACTTGGGGAAGGTGGTTTAACCTCCATTGAAGACAATATGCTGAAAACCTTGCTCTTCTTCCAACTCAATAGTTTTTAACTATTATCAACTGATTAAATGAACGAAATATTCCTCCAAATACAAAACGCCCTGCATGTGCTTTGCAAAAAAATGAAAATTAAAACATAAAATGAAAGAGCTAAAACAAGGAATCAGCTATCCTCTTCCAATAGAGGGCAATGAAACTGAAATGCAAACCAAGCTCTTCAATCATCTAGTCATTCAAAATATTTCAATTCATGCATTTGTTTTCAAGAATTCAAATCGGGTGTCAGAATCCATTTATATTTCATTTCTATCTCCTCTGATCTAAAACCAAATCTCACCTTCCCCTGGATTCTGCCATACTCCCAAGGGGGAGGGGGGATATGCCTGCATGGTTATGACTTTCACTTCCTCTATTTGCTACAATGTAACCTTTTGTTTATTGCCGCTGGGTCTGCTGGCCATTACAATGTAACAAATTGCCCCCTTTAATATGCATCTCTCTGAACTTTCTTCTCCCTAACCGGGCAGTTAGGAAAGGGGAGGAAAGAAGTCTAAACATCCAGAACCTGGCTTATTTCCCCGGTCCCAAAATAAGGTGTGAAGAGCAGTGGAACATGTACTACAAGCGGAGACAGACTGATGCTATCTTCCCTTTCCCACGATGGACTAACCACCTGGGGATTGGCCGGTCTGAACCGTCCGGATGAACTGTGGGGTGGAGTTTGCTTAGGGACTCTTTAAAGTATTGTAAAGAATCCCTCAGATCCTGTCTATTATGCCTGCTATCAACTACTCTTAATAAAAGTTCCTGTTGGAAGAAATTGTTTCCAAGAGTTCTGCTTTCTTAAGATGTGGGATTGAAGTAGGTCCTTACATTGGGCTTGAAATTGGAATAGAGAAAGTCCTTTATTTTAATAAAAGATTTAATAGATATGTTTGAGAGAATTGGCAAATATTAGATATTACTCACCAAGTGAAGCTTATAAACTAACTGCTAAAAATGCCTGTAATATATAGTAAAGATTGAGCAGGCTATCACTGAGGTTAAAATAATAGTAAATAAATAAAACAAAATAGCAAATTTTGAAGTTTGTAACAAATGAAACTAGCAAAAAAGCTTACAATGATAGGATGGATTACATAGCAATACGACTTCATGATCTCTTCCCAGATGTACATTAGATGAAGTATAGAGTTCAAAATTGCAGGCTCGCAAAATTCAACTAATCAAGGACAGTACTTGTTTTAATGAATATACTGGAAATGAAAATATTCAGGAAGCATCCAAGCTGAAAGAAATAAACTTGAAAGGAAACGAAAACTTTGTTTTATTAAGATTGTAGCCAAACTACTTTACAATAAAGTTGCATTTAAACCTATTGATAAAGAACTATTGATAAAGGAATTCAATATATTGGGGATTTCCATCTAAATATTGAAATGGGGCAACTCACTTAACTGTCTTGCTTAGCAACAGAAATTTTGGACTCAATTGTGGTTGTCAGTTGAAGACTACCTGTAAAGATTCCAGATGATAGAAGATTCTGACAGTAAAGCAAAAGAGCAAAAAATATTAAAATGAACTCTAAATTTCTGAATGCTTAGTACAGTATTAAAACATTAGCTTTTATTAGAATTAAGTTGTAACTACATGAGATAAGTAAATATTTAGAAGAGAAGCAGGCAGTTACGGTATATGGGAAGAAGTATGAAAATATAGTTGATTAAGATACAGTAAATACTCAATTCATTGTGTGGAAAGCAACAAAGAACTTACACCAGGAAGTGGCTGAACTTGTGAACCTCACATAGTCACATAGGGAGGGGAAATGAAAGCTAGAATTAGATGGACTATTGGAAGGGAAAGACTATGGGTAAGGCCGAGGTAAGTTTAAGGGAAAAAGCATGAAGAACCAGATTTACTATTGGTACTAGTCATATAAAATGTATAATAGGACTATATAAAATTTGATTTATTTTATAGGATGCAGGAAATTAAAAATAGTAAAAAGGGTATTTTATGAGTGACAGCTCTAACCTTATTTGTTTTAATCTTAGGGGTTTGGGAAAACAATGAAAACATACAATATATTTATATAATTAGGTAATTTCTCACCTCAACTGTTATGCTGCAAGAAACTTATAGGACAGTGTTAAAGATTTTTTTTTTAAATTCATGTTCATTAAAGATAATTTACTAATTGCTATTGCTTCAATCTATAACCAATCTCTGTTTAATTGTTGAAATGTCAGAGGTTGCATTATGTGTAAATAATCAAATTAAGGAATTAAAATAGAGGGGAAAATTATTGATTGAATCTAGTTGCTGATTATTACAATCATCTGTAATGCAACATATACTTACTCATTTAATAAAAAGCTTTAAGAATCTGCCTGAGTCTAACAGACAATTTTTAAAATTCTATAATAGTATATGAATAGCATTCATATTTAGCCTGGTAAGGAAAAATTTGTACAGTATTTTAGGAATTCCCTTTGAATATAAAATCGATCACGTAAAATATAAAAATAAATAAAATATAAGAATTAACATATTAAAGAATTTAAATAAGCTATTCAATAATAATTATGGCTTTGCTTGTTATAAATAAGAAAGAATATAAAAAGGTGGAATAGAAATTATATTAGAATTTAGGCCATGTATCAGCAATTAAGATATTATTCCCAAAATTGATCTATTTCAAACTCTTCCAGTAGATATTCCTGACAAAAGTCTTATCAATTGGGACAAAAAAGTTTATTTTGCTTTAATTCAAATACAATACAATAAAATACTAATTTAAAATGATGCTACCAGATTCTGTCTTCCAAAGACTAACTTGGTTGTCTTCCTACAGCAATGCCTGGAAGACTCTGTGTCAGCTTGGAGGATTATTACCAGCATCTATACATACAGGCACTATATTTTAAGATGTTACATCAGTGGCATCAAACTTCCTTAAGAATCACACACACACACACACACTCTCACACATTGTTAGTACTTCAAGTTATTGTCATTAGCCAAACATGCCCACTGCATGGTTGAAAACATTTTATTGATAGAATTACTCTACATGTTACAAATGGAATTGTTTTACTCCACACACACATAAAACCTTACTATAGTGAGAAAAAGTTAATACACTCATACACATGATTACATTCAATATATTTATAGTAAAACTATATTATTGAATATTTCAAGTCTTATCTAAGTGGAAGGTATTACTCCATTCATGCATTTCTTTTCCAGGTGTGAGTCCCTGCAGAACTGCTCTCTAAGGAAAGGAGAAGCTTCACTCTTCTAAAACTCCACAGTCTATAGAGAAATGGAACTGATAAATAGTAAAGACTAGCAAAAAAAACCCTGCTTGGCCTCTCAAATATAGATACACAGACACACAGGCTCACAGAATATGTGAATGCAAATATTGCAGAATTTGATTAAGTAAGCCCTGATTTTAGGAATTAAATAAATTTCATTTCCATAGTTCTCCTAGAGGTTTGTGCTGAGCTTCTTGCATAGCCTCTTCTGCAAGGGATTTAATTTCTTTGTGCAAATCTTCTACATTCTTCGAAGCATCAATCAACTGTATTCAAAAACAAAACATACAGAAATAAAACATTACTCAACTAAGAAAAATGTGTAATTGAATGAATGCCCTAAATTCAGCTTTTCAGCTAGAGAGAAATGACTCATTTCATCTTCTTGTCATAAAGTTAAAGCAACCAACAGCTTATGGTTAACTAAAAACCAAAGTACTACTAGCTAATTCTAATTGTTTTTTTATATTTAATTTCTTACCTTCCAATTTAAAGATTTATCTTTTATCAGCTGGTAAAAGCACTGTAGAACTTTCTCCTGAAAAGATGTGTCCTCATAGCGTTCATTTCCAAATTCTCCTCGTTTGGCTGCTTCCAAGGTGCTCAGTTGAAGAAAAAAGATCAAATCTGGCTTTGGAAGCCCCACATCAGGCTGCTTACACCATTCCAAAGAGAAGTTCTGTTCAGAGAGAATTAAGAGATATAGTAAATAGTTAAAAGAAAACAAAGAACTATTTGATAAGATTGTAGGAAGATAAATTATTGATCTATTTGTTCACTATTGTCCATACTTTCAGTTCTCAACCAATAAGCACTTTTGTCCATACTTTGTTCTCAACCAATAAGTTTGTATCATGTAAGTTTATATCTTGTAGAAATATTTGAACATAAGACCTTTACATACAGTACAACGAGGTGTGCTGTCAACTACTATCCTTCCCCAAGGATATTGTCTATTCTGCTAAAAGTCCCATAATATTTAGGTACTTGACTAAGACTGGAGCTTTTGAGAACAGTAGCCCAATATATTTGGATAAATGTTACTTTCCCAGGGAGTTTAAATAGGCTGTTTCAATTTTATTCATTTATAACTGTCTTTAGCAGTAAATAAAGCAGAAACAAGAGTCAAAATAAAGACAAATAAGCATATACAACAAGCCATCTTAAATATTAAAATGGATTTCCTGCCAAAGCCTTTATACTAAATAACAAAACTTTGCAACACTCTAAAATATGTTAAAAAAATCTTATCAGCAAGCAGAAAATTGACATAAACTATCTGCGAGAAGGGGTAAAATAAAAAATTGATACAATGCTAGGCTAGTACATTTCTGATTTACTCACTTCTTTTGCACCTGTGAAGGCTACTCCAGAAAAGGCATATCTGTCCACTATTAGAGTGACACCTTGGCTTAATTTTTCTTTAATAGATGGCCTGAACAAGAGAATTGCACGTTATTTACCAAAAATAAAACTAGATTAAGTTACTATACTAACATTCCATGACTATTCATTTAGTATGTGGCGGAGGGCTTATTGTTCACACATCTTAGGGAAGAACTCCAGAAGAACGCAATGGTGCAAAATGGGAGATTTCAGTCCTTCTCCTTTATATAGATTACTTTAAGACTGCATTGCTTCATAACATCTTTTAATATAATGAAAATAATATACCAAATTGGACTTCAAAATTATAACGAATTATAAATTAGCATATATAATCACTGGCACTTGGGCAGCTTTTTAAGGACAGTAAAATGTGTTTGCTAATAGTTTTCAGTGCCTTCATTTTGTTACTTATAGCTCAAAAACTACATTATGTTTTTAAGAGTCAATTTGATGCAGAGTTTTAAGACCAGAAATTGAGAGACCATAAGTTCTAGTCCCGCCATAAGCATGAAACCAGCTGGGTGATCTTGGGCCATCACTCTTTCTCAGCCTTAGGAAGGAGACAATGGCAAACCACTTAAGAAAAACCTTGCCAAGAAAACTGCAAGGGCTAGTCCAGGTAGTTTGCAGGTGTCAACATGTCTCAAAGGTACAAAAAGAGATGAGTAAGTCTTTACAAGAATTTCAGTATAAATTTTTGGATAAGTTTATATAATACTGCACCACTGAGTTGCAATCTTATGACCTATGGAACAGTGTTATAATTCAAAGTTGATTTTGTCCCCTTCTCTTACATTACCATGGCATTCTGTACCATACCTGTACCAGGTTTAATTGGGTGTTAGAATCTAATTTTTAAAAAACTTTTGGAGCAGTATAATTTAAACTTCTCGTGTTAGTTTGTACCTGCTTCGTTATATTTCCTTATTTCAAATATTCTATCAGCATTTCTTTACCATAATTCTGAAATAAGAAAAGTCACTCTGCTTTATCTTCTCAGAAATAATGCTTAACCATTTGAAATAATTCTGCTAACTGAATTATATGCTAGTTTATAGTAACAAGTAGTTGATATCAATAATCAAATTCCAACCTGCCTCCTTTCATCTTTTTCTAAAAAGAACTACTGTTGTTTTGAATGTTCTAGGGAAAGGAACTTTATGTCCAATTTCCTTCTTTGAAATCAGAGCTGCCTCTTCAACCTGAGAAGGGCACCTAAAAAATATTTTGAATCTTGGGACATTTTACACAGACCATACGACTGCAGCCTAACACAATATTTGAAACACAAATGATCAGCTGTTTGCAAGGAATATAAATCCTTCCATTCCCCACCATCCAGTCAGAGCTAGAGAAGTTTCTTGGATGAGAAGCGAAACGTCTTCAAAGAAAAACAAGAAAGTCCAGTTGCCTCTTGAAAAAGCACCTTTGGGACAATATTTGAAAGTCATACATTCACAATTTTCCTGAAGTAAAATATGAAATCAAATCGGATTTAATGGGAACTATTTGGACCCCCGTACTAGACAAAAAATTATTTTACACTTGCTCCCAACGATTAGCAGAAAACAGTAGATGCACTGTGTGGTCCTCCAAGTTGTTTTTCTTTTCCAAGTAAGAACTTATTAGCTGTCCAGTTTCTGTTGACCTTTCTGTAATAAACAAATAGGAAAAAATGAAATATAATACACATCCTCAGTGTCTGCAAATTCTTTCTCTTTTAAACATGCACCACATTTGAAATAAAATGCAACTGCTTTATCTAATAATTTTCATTTCTCTCAAAATTCAGTTAAAAAGTATGGCATGACTTCAATATACAATTAAAGTACTGATAAGTACATACAAAGACTATGACTAGGACTGCCTGTTAGTTATACTTCATGTCTTGAAGTGTAAGAAATAAAGCTGTATATGCTTTTTTCCTCTTTATTGCCATAACATAAGTAAACATGCAAACAAGATCCTAATGGAGTATTAGTTTAGTTAAATACTGTACGTACAGTGGTGCCTTGATACTCAACTGCTTTGAAACTTATCGAATTTTGTACTCAACGCAGTGAAAGCTTTGTCCCAGTACTCATTGTTTGTTTGGTAGTCAATGCACAAACTAAAACTTGTTTGTTTCTTTATGGGAAAAATTTGGTAGTCATTGTTTTTGGTACTCATTGCGCTTCCTGGAACCAATTAACAATGAGTACCGAAGTACCAAATAATTTGCAGTGGAAATAAACGAAACATTACATTGTTTAAAGTTTTTAAGAAGAGACTGGACAGCCATTTATCCGAAATGGTATAGGGTTTCCTGCCTGAGCAGGGGGTTGGACTAGATGACCTTCAAGGTCCCTTCCAACTTTATTATTATTATTATTATTATTATTATTATTATTATTATTATTATTATTATTATTATTATTATTATTATTAAAATCTCACTAGTATGCTGAACATGATTAAATGTAAACATATTCTGTATAGAACCAGCTGCTGAAAATGGGGGGTTCCACATATTCCAATACAAGAGGAGCTTAAAGAAAAGCTTAAAAGTATAGGACAGGATTACTTTTGAACATTTATTAACTATAGATTAATCACGGATTATAACAAACCACAGACGGTGCACAACACTTCCCCTATCAATAGCACCATGGCAAAACTCTTTTAGTGTTACCATTTCTTTCTTTTACTATAATTTTATTGCTCAATAAAAATAAATGCAACGATGCCATCTAAACCCTAGTTGTCTGGTTCTGAAAGGCTGCACCCACTGAGTTTCAATCTGCTCTGCGACATTCTATTAAGATCATTTTTTCTCTAACGAAATTGGGGCGACGCCATGCCTGCATTGTGTACCCACTCCGAGGTCTGCATTCCACTTACCGGGAAACCTAAGAAGTTCGGCCTGGTGCCCTCCTGCCCAGAGGGCCTCCACCAGCTTTCGGCTCTGTGTGCTTTTGCCTGCTCGATCAACACCCTCCAGAACAATCAAAGCCCCTCGTCGGCCCGCCATCGATAAAACCCTTCCAGTCTCTATCCGAGAGAAAGGAAGAAAAAAAGGTCATCGAGCTTGCAGCTCCCGCGCTTGACACAGTCATAGAAATGATCCTTCCGGCGTGCAGAGCGGCTCTACTGTCGCCATGGTAATCAAATCAGAAGGTGAAAGCGGAAGCATAGCTCGCGCGCGAACATTTTTTTTTTCACGAGGCCCTAGAACAGGGGTAGGCAACCTCGGCTCTTTTATGACTCGTGGACTTCAACTCCCAGAATTCCTGAGCCAGCTTGGCTGGCTCAGGAATTCTGGGAGTTGAAGTCCACGAGTCATAAAAGAGCCGAGGTTGCCTACCCCTGCGCCTAGAAAAACTCGTTAACTCCCAAGAAATAAGTGTGATCCAGAAAGGGGCGGGGAACGAGTTTCTTCTTGAGCACTAAAAAGGACTACGAATTAATGAAAGGCGTGAGCGCGGAAACCGGTCGCCCAGTGCTTCGTCGCTTCTCTAGGCTCGCTAATATTAACTCTTAACCCACCGTCTTTATTAACCGCCAAGTCTTTTTTGGGCCACCTTGTAGAAAATTCTATACGGTGTAAACAGTCGCTGATTAGTTTGCAGGGCAGTGTTTCTCAACCTTGACAATTTTAAGGCATGTGGACTTCAACTCCCAGAATTCCACAGCCAGCAATGCTGGCTGTGGAATTCTGGGAGTTGAAGTCCACATGCCTTAAAATTGTCAAGGTTGAGAAACACTGTTGTAGGGGGAACTGGAAGCTGGGAACTGCACGTGCTGCGAGGAAGATTTTAGAAATTATTTTTAAAAATACGGGATTGATGGCGGTAACCCTTTCAGGATAATGGAAGAAGCGATCGTAGAACACTCTCATGTGCAGTATATTTATTTTTAGTGAGAGAACGTCCCAAGCCCATTTGGCTAGATTTCCGAGGAATTTTATTCATCCTTACGTATGCCAAACCTCTGCTTCGGATGCCGAAGGCTGAGCACGTGGCACTCCCTCATTTATCCCCACAACGATCCTGGTACGAAAGTGGCCGGCTCCAACAAAGCAAGCGGGTAATCGGATGGACTTGCACCTGGATCTTTTCAAACCATTTTTGCAGGTTAACCGTGAAAAATAAAGCACCACTTTCAACTGTACCCCCCCTCCCCATTCCTTTCATTGGAAAAAAAAACCCCTCCAAAGTCGCACGCTTTGCTTTATCTGTTGTGAAAAATATCTTATTTTCATTCCACGGGTTGACAAAACGGGATAAGCGGTTCGCAATCCGTTTTAAGTTCATTTCTAGGGTTGCCAGGTCTGCTTCCAAAAAATAGCGGACAAGCGGGGGTGGTGGTGGTTAAGTAGTAAAAAAAGTAGACTGTACAGCTTTAGATTACGTACCATTTCACCATAAAGCTTTTGAATAAAAAAAAAATGTCCACTATTTTGTGCAAAAAAATAGTGAACATGTGAAAAAAGTGGACTGTCCACTCAAATAGTGGACACCTGGCAACCCATTTCTATCTCTTGGGTGTGTCTTAAGAGAAAGGGTACCGGGTGGAATAGGACAAGGGAGAACTCCCTTTACTTTGGAAACACAAATACGAATGAATTCGTCAAAGAAGCATGAAACGTCAGTCAAAGACTTCGAGCCGAGAACACTATAGTCATCCAAGCTGCATTTGATATTAAGCAAAGATTTTAAGGAGGTGCTGTTTTCCTGGCAGGCGCGTCCCGGGCCATCTGCTGCAAACTTTCCAGCATCCAGCCAACTTCGCCCGCTGGGGGAGAAGCTGTGGCCGGACGGCTCCGGCGTTCCCGTCCTCGTCCCCGCCCTCTGATTGATAGGCGGCCCGGTGGCGGCGCGACCAATCGGTGGCGGCGTCTCATGATTATGCGATGAAAGCTTGGCCGGCCATTGCAAAGGCGCTAGGGTGACAGCGCCGAGCGCGCGACGGCTGAAAGGTGGGCGTCGGCCGGTTGGTTGGCGGTTGGCTGACTCGAGATGGCGGCAGCGGCCTTGTATTTGGAGCACTACCTGGACAGTGAGTGAGTGCGGCGTTGGGGGAAGGGGTGAAGCGCCGCGTGGTCTTGCCGGCTGTTGCAGCTGCATCATAGCCCCGATGGGTGTTTGTGCCGGGGGGGGCGGGGGGAGAGGAACTAACCGGCGAGGTATTTTTGCTGCGTCACACCTCTTAACTGCGAGCGGAAAAAGACATTCAGTCGGGTCTGGGGCTGTAGTTGATGGTCTTCGCCGGTAGGGGCCGCTTCCGCGCTCCTCGCCATCAGTGCCACCTGTAAGCTTCCCGGTTTCTCAACCTTGACAATTTTAAGGCATGTGGACTTCAACTCCCAGAATTCCACAGCCAGCAATGCTGGCTGTGGAATTCTGGGAGTTGAAGTCCACATGCCTTAAAATTGTCAAGGTTGAGAAACACTGTTATAATAGAGAAACATTCTCCTCTTCCTTTTTAAACTTGAAGCATTTTCTCTGCTGACTGCAGGCCCCATCTTCTCTTTGAACAACCTCGTGGCCGTGAAAGTACATCCTTTTTATGCCTTGCTGCAGGTCTGCGCAGTTACTTAAAACAGTTACTTTAAAACACTTTCAAGAGGAAAAGCGAACCATCTTTACAGATTTTACTCTTGAAACTATTGAGCTATCCCCCTCACTATCTACAGGTAGCCCTCGACTTAGAATAGTTCATTTAGTGACCATTCAAAGTTACAACGGTGCTGAAAAAAAGGGATTTATGACCGTTTTTAACACTTATAACAATGCAGCATGGCTGTAGTCACAGGATCAAAATTCAGATGCTTGGCAACTGGTTCATATTTATGACGGTTGCAGCATCCCAGGGTCATCTGATCCTTTTTTGTAACCTGACAAGCAAAGTCATTGGGGAAACCAGATTCACTTAACAACCATGTTACTTAATTAACAACTGCAGTGGTTCACTTAGCAATTGTGGCAAGAAAGGTCGTAAAAATGGGGCAAAACTCAATTAACAAATGTTTCACTTAGCAACATAAACGTTGGGCTCAGTTGTGGCCATAAGTCGAGGATTACCTGTATAAAGATTGAGTTGAGTTGAGATCTGGTCTGCCCACCATGTTAGGCTTATCCACATATCTACTGAATTACTGCACTAGAAAAGATCAGTGATCAATAGTTTAATTACAAGAGAAAGAAAGAAAGAAAGAAAGAAAGAAAGAAAGAAAGAAAGAAAGAAAGAAAGAAAGAAAGAAAGAAAGAAAGAAAGAAAGAAAGAAAAAAGCAGCATTGATATTTTTTTCTCTTCAGCAGCCAGAACAGAAATGACTAGGAAACAACAAACTCCCATGGCTGGATGGGATGAGTAGTCTTGCAGCAGACCAATTGGAGCCTTGCATGTTGCTGATCTCTCTCATACTCCTCTTCAGTGTAACAGGGAGTGTTCACATAGAACATTTTAATGCATTTTCCAATAGAAGACCACCTGCAAACCCCCTTGCTCAGTAACAGGCTGGTAAGATGGAAGGACCGCTGTGAGGATAAGGAATTCTCTCAGATGCCCAACAACATTGATAAAGGGTCCATAGGATTAGAATGTGAAGTGTCAAAGATACCATATGTATGGAAAATGTTTTTTCATAATGGAAAAGGTATACATTCTGTGCCAAAAGTGTATTATAAATGCTGGTGATAGAAGTAAAGTTGGTGAAAGAATTCTGAGCAATATCTTCTGCCATTATCCATAATATTGGTAGAAAACGGGGAAATCGCATGGTGACATCGCTGCAACTTTAGCTTTTCTGCTTTATTTCTGCTAATATTTTCTGATAACAGAACATTCAGAGACAGCAAGATTGTTAGTGAACAGAACTAATGAAGTGAGCTATGTTTATGAGCCACAATTAACACTTTTAAGTCTCATTTGGAGATTTTAAAGTATCTTAGGCTCTAGCAATATTTGTTTTCCAACCTTAAGCACTGGGACCTATGAGACCAAGAAGGATGGGAATGAGGTATGGTGGGAAGAAATCATAATGATAGTTACAAACTGTTGTTTGTGGTTAGAAATTTAATTTGAATAGATTTGTGGTATGAAAATAATTCAGTCTTTCTATATCTTTTTCAGGCATTGAAAACCTGCCCTGTGAATTACAGAGAAACTTCCAACTTATGCGTGAACTGGATCAGAGAACAGAAGGTATATTCAAATATATTAACTCAGATCTTTTTCAGATAATGCAGGGATACAACCTATTGTTCTAGGATCACATGTAGCCTTTGGTCTAATTTAAAAAGCCCTTTGCAAGAGATCAGTTCAGAATCACGGTAAGTGATACATATCCTCTCCTATACTTTATCCGTGGAAGAGAGTTGAAAGAGCAACAGAAAGAGAATGAGAGAAAAAAGAGACATTAGAAAAAAAATATGACTATGTACTTTTGGTGCTAGCCCCATTCACTGTTTATTTTAGCTGTATCTCTCATGTTACTCTCAAAGCAATGTATTTCTCATGTTGCCCCTAAAGCAATATAGCCTTTAATAGAAAGAAAGGTTTTCCATTTTTGATGTAATGTATACCTGGTGTTAAATTTAGACAGATCTGAGAAGACTATTTTAAGGACTCGTCATACATTTTTAAAATAAAAGTCAAACAATTAAGATTATTTTCCACATCTTGAAAATAATTAGTGATAATCAAATTATTTAATATTTTATTTTTGTATATGACAAATGTTTTAAAGGACAAACAGTACAGTGTCCCAAAGGACAAGAGGCAAATGGACTTCCTTGTTTTTCTTTGAAAATGTTTTGCTTCTCGTCCAAGAAGCTTCTTCAGCTCTGACTAGATTGTGGGGATTGGAAGGATTTATATTCCTTGCAGACAGCTGGTCATTTGCATTCTTGGGGTTAAAGTGTGCCAGTTGCCTCTTGAAAAAGCATATTTGGGACAACCATGACCTGGATGACTGAGAATCTCCATAGACAAACAGTATACTGCTGGTACTGCAGTGCTACCAGTATTCATTAGCAAAAAGTATGATATTAGAAGTAGCCCATTTCTTTAACTTCATATGGGAAACAAGTTATGGGAAACATATGGGAAACAAGTTATGCATTTGAATTTATGAGATATGGGAAACAAGTTATGCATTTGAATTTATGAGATATTGTTGGAAAACATGTTTAAATCAAACTATTTCAGAGGACTGAATACAAAGGGATGTTTCCTTCCACCAGCAGAAATTTAATGTTTTGATCCTCAAAATTATTATACCAGCTATTTATATTCAAGAGAGTCAAATAATACACCACTCTCTTTCTCTAACTAGCTGATTTCTGGAGGCAGAGTGAGATATTTTGTTTAGCTCTCTTCTAATACTATCTAGCATCCCAAATCACATATGAGATATTCAGTAAATACTCCATACATCTAGTAGTATGCTTAAGGATTTTGGCTGCCAGTGAGTTAGTGGGTGAAGTAAATTCATTGGAGATTGAGGTACTGAAATTTTAGAAATTGCTGTACTAAAGACTTTTAAAATTACAACATGTCAGGTTTGGAATTTCCATCCTATATTTTAAAATAAACACATTTGTATTTAAAATGAGAAATAGGTTTTGTTTTGTATGGTTCTTGAAACATTTCAGTTATAAAATACAATTAGATACTTATTGTGTTTATGTGAAACTAAATGCCAATCTGATCAGTAAAACATCCCCTAGTAAATGAGCTCCTAACTGCAGCATGAAAACACAATTTCTTAGTTCTCTATTTAGACAAAATTAAATTTTTTTAGGCTTTTTGGTATGATGACGTTTGGATTGCAGTTTCAGTTTTATACTTATGCTGTTTCTCATTATCCTTCAGACAAGAAAGCAGAAATAGATAGTCTTGCTGCACAATATATTTCAACAGTGCGGGATCTGTCATCGGAGCAACGAGTGGAAATCTTGCAGAAGATCCAAAATGCTTATACAAAATGCAAAGAATATAGTGATGACAAAGTGCAGTTGGCCATGCAGACCTACGAGATGGTAAGTTTAAATAGAGCAGTGATACTGCAGAAGACTGCCTATGTTTATGATATCTCTTATCTAACCTTTTAGCTTATGTTTCAGATGGCAGCATTTTTTAATATTTAGTAACTGTTCACTGACGAATGGAGCTGCTGTGCTGGACTTCCGCTTAACACCAATCATTATAATTTTTCTGCTTCAGAGATTGTGTATAAGATTGTACTATTTCCTCATTTAATCTTTTGCACAATGGAAGGAGTAGTAAAAATGTGAAGTCTAGAGTGAATGTGTCTGATAAGTAACTATATTTGTCAGAAGTACATTTATCAGAATTGTCTCTTCAGCCAAGTTTCTGAAGTGGATTTATTGATTGGAATTTCACTGAGGAATATATTAACAGCTATGAGACAATTGGTACTCACACATTGTACTAACTAAACCATGATTTTTGACAGTTATAATAACTATATTGTGCACTTGACATTGAGATGAAGCTGATAGATTCTGCTTAGTAAAAAGAATTGCTATTCTTATGATAGTGTTCCCTTGTTTCTGCACTTACAGAAAAATGTTTCCAATGTCTGAAAAAAAAATGTAATTATCACATATTTGTTACCACTACGAAGCTTCAGAACAGCTTGTCAACAGCCTAATTTAGTGTGCCTGCTAGCTACATTAGCAAATGAGAAAAACATAAAGTATTTTGGGGTGGTTTATAAAAATTATAAAAATATATACAATATATGAATATTGCATACAGTATTCAGTTATTTAAAACTAATTAATGAAATATTGAAAAATGTAACCTAATTCTATATTGTTCATAAATTCAGTATTAATCGATTTGATGCTTTCTTTTTTCTCTTTTCTTAAAAATACCTAATTAAAAAAAATAATATAGTGGCTGGAAAGGACATTATCAATCATCTAGTTTAAGAATCCCTTATTTATAACATCAGAGCCATTCTGGCTATTTTTATATCCTTGCAGTGAAGGAGAGTGTGCTGCCTCTTGAGACGGTTTGTTATGATTAGGAAATTCTCCTTGATATCCAATCAAAATCCTGCTTCCTTGTACTTTAAACCTATTCTTGTTTTACCTTCTAAACATGTATACCCAAACTT